GCCTTGTAAAAGGGTATCCAGTTCTCTACCCTCACCATATGGAAAACAGCAGTTTTAAGCTGCTATTTTACGCTGGTATTCTATGAGAGTGTGGTCCTTCCCTGGTCGAGTCGACCGCCGAACCGAGTCGATTTGTTTTATAACAATAATATAGCTAGAGCGTGGCTCTACCTTAGTATTAAATGAATTTGATTTCATTAATTATGTGACCTCAAGCAGTTAGTGAATGGTTAGTTCTGTGTAGAAGTTTATTGCAAAAAATGTTTATTTCTTTAAAAAAGTTTACTTATATGAAAAAGTTAATCGTACCTTGTAGTGGCGGCGCAAAAATACCCACTACCCCATTTCATTCCGTGTGTCGTAAGAGCCGACAGAGGGAAACAAAACAGGTTGTGGGCAGCAACCTCTTTCTAATAATAACTAAAAATATATACCAAACCCTCCTGCAAAGTGTAGCAACTATGGCAAATATACCCCCTATATGGCAATTTATTGCGGAGGCCTACGTTCAGCAATAGACTGTAATATAACTTAAGAAGGATATTAATCATCGTCATCAGCAACAGCCCTTAAACATTTGTCTGTAGATCAAGCCTTAGGTTAAATCCATGGGATATTTCTAGCATTATCCATTACGACACCCACCTAGTCACCCATGAGGGCGCGTCCATTAATTACGTGAGGTGTTTAAGGGGAGATCACTCAATCTCACCCAATCTCACATGGGGGAGTGGGAGGGTCTCGGCAAATATGGTCTTTTGACAGTGGTAGAGCCACGCGGCAGCTTTTGTTGTCGCACGGATGGGCCGGCTCGAACCGGGGTGGTACCACGACCTCACAGAAAACCAGCGTGAAGTAGCGGTTTACCTCTGCGTTTCGCTTGGTGAGTGCAGGTGGCCGGAGGCCCTTTTTACTGGAAATGAGGCATTCCATCTTAGTCCTCACGGGTGACAACGCATCTACATTTTGATTTGTAATAGAGGATAGATGTAGTTGTCTATGGGCCGCAGCAACCACTTACCATCAGGTGGACTGTGTGCTCGTTTGTCACCCTTATCCTATAAAAAAAAAAACAAAAAAAAAATATCACGTTATTTTTTCCGCAAGTAACAATGTACACTTTCGAGAAAATTGGGTTAAATTAAGTAAAATATGGCTAAATCCTACACAATAATATTAATCGCGGTTATGTGAACTCCACAAATTATATAAAAATAACTAAGCAAATTATGTTTTTCTTTTTTAAATTAATCAAACGCAATCAAGAACAGATTATACTAAAAATATGCATTTTGTAAAATCTCACGTGAAATTTGAGAGGGGCGTATCCTGAGGGGGTCGAGTTATATGGCACGACGCCTCACCAGGGAGAGAGGGAGGGTAGAAAAATCACCAAAATCGCCTCACGTTATTAACGGATGCCGCCTTACGACACCTATGCTACGAGAGGTAATAATAATTCCATTCCCCCACCACCAAAGGGCTCAGGAAGTTTATATAATAAATATTTTTTGTACTAAACTACTAAGCGTGTGGTGTCCATTTCATTTGATTTCATTCCTTAAGTACGGTAAGAGGTGGCTTAGGGAAAAGCCTATAAATTATTGCGGCTTCTTATAGGAGGCGACATCAATAAGCGATAGCTACATCGCGTATTGAGAAAACATAAATTATCCAGGCGATAAGCGCCATCAAAGATATGAGACGTCTCGTAGGTACAACGATCACCAATCTATCTGCTTATCATGTCGATTAAGTCAAATCTTCCCTACTATGGAAGAAGCCAACGTCCAGCTGGACTGTTATGACTTTGAGATTCTGACCAGCTACGCCCAATACACGGTGGATATATGTTTTTCCTGATAGGTATGACAAATCACATATCAAACACTACACTCACCTTTTGTATTCTTTATACCTACTCCTACACTTAGCAGTAAAATTTACGAGCATTTTACGATTCAATTTACATTTTAAAGCGAGTAACGGTTTTTAAAGTGGTCTTCGTGTTCCTAAAAAATTGGCACAACTAAAGCACTCTCGAAATGACGCATTGACTTACGATACTTCATGACTAAATCTTCTCTGTACAAGTAAATTCTGCGAAAATAAAAAAAATGTAAAACAGAAACAGTTTTCCCATGTGATTTTATACCACCATTAATGTTTGACGTGAACAAGATGGTCACCTCGCCATAAGAAACAATAAGATCCCTCTCCGTGTCTCCACACGTTCCTAAGTCACCCATTGGATTTTACATGGGACGTCTACTATATTGTTTATGTTTTTAATCTTAAAGAAATAAATCATTTATTTATTTATTTAAATGGGGCGATGTATCTTCTTACACCACCACCAGACAAAATATCTACCTCAGATAAAGTATTATGCCGCGTACACATTATCAGCCTGTCAAGAACAGGACGGTAATAAGTACCGCCCTCTGCCGGAAGCCATAAAATCCTTCTGATATTTTCCACAGTCATCTCTTACGATCTTCTCGCAAGAAATGTAGTGCGCCGTCCTCACACTTACTTAAGTGTATTCCCAACTAAAAATCTAGTCGTAGATGTAAATAGACTACAATAGTTGCGACTACATTTGTGATTTGTATGCCACCTCTGCAAGTGAAGCTCTATGCTATATTTAGAAACAAAACATTAAAAAATCTCGCATGTTTTACTCAATTTTGTACAGACACGCGCATTTAGTTTCACCGCAACTTAATTTATAATTGCTGCAATTTTTTAAGCGCGATCATTTGTGAGGTATTGATATTATATTTATACTATATTAACATATTAAACGAGTAAGTATAGGAGTTATGTAATATAGAGACGCGCTCGAGCTCGACTGGACGCTCATTGGAAAATAGTCTTTAGAAGTATACTTGTAGTCAGCCGTGAGCGTTTGTATATACATTATAATTAGTATTTTACATTTTTGTAAATAATTTACATATTTTTTTAAATTTTTAGATGAGATACTACCATCTACTATAGTTTATCAGTATACGAAGTGTGTTACTAACATTAAAATGTAAGTACAGTGTAGTATTATATTATCTAACTAGCTGTCCCCCACGCCTTCACCCGCGTGGAATTTACTATGATTTTATTTTTTTTGCGCGGAACCCTAATTATTTTTTTAAAACAAAAGTATCCTAAGTTACTCCTTACAACATTATCTATCTGCCAGTGAAAGTCCCGTCAAAATGGGTTCAGCCGTTTCGGAGATTAGCGGAAACAAACAGACAGACACATCAATTTTTTTTTTATAGGATAGGGTGACAAACGAGCATACAGTCCACCTGATGGTAAGTGGTTGCTGTGGCCCATAGACATCTACATCTATCCTCGCTTGCGAATCAAAATGCAGATGCGTTGTCACCCGTGAGGACTAAGATGGAATGCCTCTTTTCCAGTAAAAAGGGTCTCCGGTTCTCTACACTCACCATACGAAATACAGTAGAATTAAGCTGTATTTTACGCATCTTGTTTTTATAGGATTAGGGTGATAAACGAGCACACCGTCCACCTGATGGTAAGTGGTTGCTCTGTGACCCATAGACATCTACATCTATCCTCAATAAATAATCAAAATGCAGACGTTGTCACGCGTGAGGATTAAGATGGAATGCCTCTTTTCAGTAAAAAGGGTCTCCGGTTATCTACACTCACCATACGAAACACAGCAGTGTTAAGCTACACGAGCACACCGTCCACCTGATGATAAGTGGTTGCTCTGTGACCCATAGACATCTACATCTATCCTCAATAAATAATCAAAATGCAGACGTTGTCACCCGTGAGGATTAAGATGGAATGCCTCTTTTCAGTAAAAAGGGTCTCCGGTTATCTACACTCACCATACGAAACACAGCAGTGTTAAGCTACACGAGCACACCGTCCACCTGATGATAAGTGGTTGCTCTGTGACCCATAGACATCTACATCTATCCTCAATAAATAATCAAAATGCAGACGTTGTCACCCGTGAGGATTAAGATGGAATGCCTCTTTTCAGTAAAAAGGGTCTCCGGTTATCTACACTCACCATACGAAATACAGTACAGAACCGGAAACCCTTTTTGCTATCTTTGCCGTTTAGTGACAACGCATCTGCATTTTTTATTTTTAACCGAGTATAGATGGAGATGTCTATGGGCCTCAGCATCGACTTACCAATAGATGGACTGTGTGCTCGTTTGTAACCTTTATTCTATAAAAAAAAATGTATATAATATTTTCTGGTAATAATTACAATTATCGTGCGTGAATATGCCTATGTATTCAATAAAAATTGGGACCGTTTTCACTACCCTGAAAAACTCTCACACACGTGTTTCTGATGTCGTTAGCACGTAACGCTGTTGAAATCCTGATCTCAGAGTGTTTGCTCTGCACCCTCCAGCTACCTTTTGTTTTATAATATGAGATGTCGGACATGAGCAAATAAATGATAAAAAATATAAGCAAATATGTTATATATATGTGGTTCATATTATAAGATCTTTAATCTGAGATATGTTCATTTTATGGTATCACATAAAATGGAAAAAGATTAGGTACATTATATGTGTATACAATCTGTATATATGTACACTATTTTGTGCACAGCTTATGTAGGCCCCACGTCTAGGCATAGGCCTCCTCTCATTTCTGAGCGAAGTCTACATTACATTTTAGTAACGCAGCGCCATCTTGAGAACTTACAAGTAACTTTAATAAAAGAAGCACGTTTTTGTTGCGCAAGCGATTACTACACACGCATACGCCACATGCTTCATATGATGATATTAAGATTATATAGAGAATCGAGAGTTATTCAACGATTGTTAACAGATGGCGTTGAAGTAAAATAAGATATTTATGTATATAAATGTATAATTTCAACCAATTGATATTATAAAAATGTGATTAATTATAATTTTGGAATAACATTACAATATATAAAATATAATATGTAATTAAAAATTGGTGCAAAATAATTTACTCACCTTATTTTCGCAAGTGGTGTGACACGCATACTTGCAAACTGTAACAAAAAAAAAACATGTGTAAGTATCGTGGAACACTCGGTTGGAACGAAGTTCCTTACGTATTTTATTATATATAAACGTATTATATGATTGATTAATACATACAAATAAATGAATTACTAGCGTCTATTAAAATGATGCGTCATTTAAAAAAAATTCTTTTATGGTAAGAAAATAAGAAGAGGGAGGGAGATATATTATTCCATCTCGCTTTCTTATAGCGCCAAGGATGTCTACAATAAGTCAGAAGGGGTGACGGAAAAATCTTACACTTTTTGTTGCCTAGGCCCAACCTCCATCCACCAAATCCGTACCGTCCGATAAGGAATTTCATTCTAAAAAATATATTTTTATAACTTTATGGGATTAACTGTTTAGTTCATATAAATAAAATACACGTTAAAGCAGTCACAACAATAAAGCTCATTTCTTTAAACTTATTATATTTCAATGTAGTTGAATGTGTTGTCGAAAGGTATGCAATGAATTAAACCTATACCCAAACTAAGGTCACCATGTGGGTAGTGGATACAGTATAATATATTATGCGCACACTTTTAGTAAAATCCGTTATTTTTTACTGTTTATTTATTACTGTAAAACAAATAATATAATTTTATAAATCCCTTAAAAAAGGTATGAATTCTCTGTTAATTTAAGTTTTCTGATAAATAGTCTAATAATCTACTTTTCTTTTTTCAAAATTGTATATTTTAATAAATTAATGAATTAATGAAAAATCATTTCTATTTATATTTCTCAGAGATGATGGAATCAGAACCTCAATCACATAGGCTGTTCACTAGCCATAAACTATATTGAAGAATATAAGCCTACTCTACTTTTTATCCACTTCTTGACCTGAGCCCAATGCTCAAGCAAAACCTATGTCGATTGAAGGTAAAGGGCAGATGATCTTGTTCGTTTGTAAACGTATAAAATGTAAAATTTTGACAATTGTTCAAAGCATTAATTTTAATAATTGTACAAAAATACATTTAATACGTAACCTCAGAGCTTTAGAATGTAACAAAATCTTCAAATGCCAACTACACCTGCGAAATTAATAACCGTTCGAAAATGCCGATCCTAAATCCTAATAATTGGTATCGATAAGCAGCCTCACCAGAGCGAGGATATCTGCTTAATCACTAATTCGCCCGCCTAGAAAATTAAATATTAGGCCAATCTTATGCGGTCTAGGTTGTCTAGCTATCTTATGCAGTCGTATTCATTAAAATCCTGTGTAGAGTAAGTAGATTAAAGCTGACAAAGAATTAAAAAGTAATCTTCGTTTAAAACCAAAAGTTGTAATTAATGATATAACGTAAATTTTTGATAAAGGTAGGTAGGTACATCACAACAAAACAATGCATGTTTTTAATCCTAGGTACTTCTTTTTTTTTTCATCTGACTTTATGGGAAACTTTATGTTAGATGTGACATTCGTCTGAGGGTTTGTAATACCGTCGAAAGCGACCTTTAAATGTCAGACCGTTGAAATAAACATCCATGCAAGAGTAGATATTCCTAGAAACCTACATTTTACTTGACGTCATTGCAAAAATAATATTCCAAAAGTACAGCGGATTTGAAAAAAAGTGACAAACAATAACTTGTGTTTTAAATCCCATGGCATAGGTATTTTGAAATTGAGAAGATACAACAAAGGGTTTCTTTTCAGTATATAACACATTTCATTACTTTGGAGGACAAGGAGTTGATGACATAGGCCTGTAGTTGTACGGATCAGAGCGGTGAATTTTTTTAGGGATTTTTCGGGTGGAACTGCTCAATTACCATTTATTCTTTCTTTACTCGTAACCATACCACAATATAACACCACCTAGATAACATAAGTTATATGCACTGATCTCTATTATACAAGTGCGCATCATAGAGATCAACAGTTATGTGATATCAGTTGTATTAATCACATTATTGCTTACTGCTGCAATCATTTTATTTATTTTTGAGTAAAACTATATCACCTCTACAGCAAGACCCCTCGTTGTGCACCGGCTGATGACACCAATGACACGGCCTGGGTTTGCGAAAAGACTTCCGACGAAAGGCGTGAGCCTGTGGCGTGCCTTCCTTCTGCAACAAATGGAAACATTATCAGTCATTTTTCTAAATAATAAGTAGGTACTTACATCTTAGCTTTTATACGATAATATATAAAAAATAACAAAATAAAAAAATGTGATAAAAACATAACTTTAATACACAGATTTGATAATTTTTAGGGTTCCGTACCTCAAAAGGAAACAACGGAACCCTTATAGGATCACTTTGTTGTCCGTCTGTCTGTCTGTCTGTCTGTCTGTCAAGACCCTTTTTCTCGGGAACGAGTGGAGGTATCAAGCTGAAATTTATATCAAATACTCAAATCTACTGTCCCTTAGAGCTGTGAAAAAATCAAACTTCTAGGTCAAAGCAATCAAAAGATACAGCCGTTTATGTCGTAAATTTTCGACATTCGTAAGGGAATCTAAACCTACAGGGTACTTCCCGTGAACTCAGAATCTTGAAATTTGGTACGAAGCAACGTTTTATAGCACAGATAAAGGAAAAATTGAGAAAAGCATAAATTTTTAGTTACATCATATAATAAAAATATTTTTAATAATTTTAAACTTATATACCTACAGATTTGTTCGGAACCCTCGGTGCGCGAGTTCTACTCGCACTTTGCCGGGTTTTTTTTATAGTATAGGGTGACAAACGAGCACACAGTCCACCTAATGGTAAGTGGCTGCTGTGGCCCTTAGATATCTACATTTATCCTCGTTTGCGAATCAAAATGGAGATGCGTTGCCACCCGTGAGGACTAAGATGGAATGCCTCATTTCCAGTAAAAAGAGTCTCCGGTTCTCTACACTCACCATACGAAACACGGCAGTGTTAAGCTGCTATTTGACACTGGTATTCTGTGAGAGCGTGGTCCTTCCCCGATCGAGCCAACCCATTCGTGCTACAACTAGGTATACTACTATACTACTATATTATATAGCTGCAGCATGACTCTACCACGTATAATAATAACCAAACCTACCTTTAAAAATAACCAAATAATTTTAACTGTGTCAAATATTACAACTCTAACAATGAAAAGGTAATTGTGGAATGCCAACATTGATATCCTTCCGACGTTTACTAAAGAAAGAAATATTGCTTTCTTTTGATATCGAATGAATGACGGTCCGAGAACTGACCAATAGGTTCTATACCTGCTTGCCCCTTCGTTAACCTGGTTACTGCGAGTATATTCGATCAGTGCAACAGTCAACTCAACTCTCTTACAAAAAAAATCTCAGTTATTAAATCGAAGAAATAGAATTAAATTAAAAAGAAAAAAGCTCATGTTAAAATATTTACATATTTAAAAATAACTAGGTACTTGTGTCCGTCCGTATTTAAATATTTGATAAGTAATATATTAACTAAATTACCTAACTTAGTATTACAATAAACACGTCTACGAGTAATAATCAATAAAAACAACATAATATAATATGAACAGAGAGGGGAAAATATTAAACATACGTAAGGATACTAAATTCAAATTTGAAAATATTTGCACGAATCATATTTTGACAGTAGTCGATAGTACCAAGCGTTTTTTTATAGAGTAGGTGACAAACGAGCGCACAGTTCACTTGATGGTAAGTGGATGCTGCAGCCTCTAAACATCTAATCAAAATGCAGATGCGATGTCACCCACGAGGACTAAGATGGAATGCCTCGTTTCCAGTAGTAAGGCTCCGGATCTCTGCACTCGCCATACGAAAAACAGCAGCATTAAGCTGCTATTTTACGCTGGTATTCTGTCAGAGCTGAGGTGTTGTCAAAGTTAACCCGGAGTCCTTCAGCGTTTTAATTATTGATTTTGGTCCGATCTACGCAGAATGAGCTTACTGTGTCAAGTCTTGCAGTGGTATGCTAAGGTTTAGTTTTATATTATTAATTACAGAATCCCAAGCAGGTGATACTACCCAGCCTCGTTTTCTATTGAAATTAGGATGTTTTTTTTTTTCAATTCAATAGCCTTATTTGTATTTAAAAATAAACTACTTTTTTAAATACAAATATTTTGAATTAAAGCTTTTAATTCAAAATATTTGTATTTTTGAAAATTGTCATAGACTCTTAAAATATCTGTAATATATTTTAGTACTATCCAACAATGCCCCTCGTACTCACTGCATATTTTTGAAAGTAGGGCTTATAAGCCCATGTACTTATATGGAGTTTAATATCATTCAACTCCATATTAGTACTTACATATCGGGCTTATCATTGAAATCATTAAAATAATATATCACTCTCACGACGCCACGCCACTTTATCACGCTAAATCCATGACATAATTTGTGTATTTGCTATTTCCATTTAGGAATATGTGTATATTTTATAAATATTAAATCATTCGATCAGGCATATTATGCTCAGACCAACAAAAAAGATAGACGGTGCGCTGACATTTCAAGTGACGCAAAAGCTAAGCAAAATACTGTGCTCAACTTATTGTAACACCTACTCTCGTACACTTATGTATTTAAAATCCTTTGCAACCAGCAACATAACGTAAAACAGGACTTTCATGAGCTGTTAAAGAAAGAAGGAAGAAAAGTGTGTGCATGAGTGGTGCAAAGATGTTGAGCGTGGTTTCAGTGTCAATTGAAATGTACGCAGTGCTCCATCTAAGGGCATAATATGATTGTAAAATCTAACCCCGCTTTTGTTCAATCAACTCCTAATTATAGCACAATGACGTCAAGTTGATGCGCAGGCGCCGGCGCCGGCCCTTGAGGCGCCACATGCTGCACACATGATACTGTCGTTTCAAAACTTTACATAACTATTTTACTAACTATATATATATTATTATAACATTATAACTGCTACTACAATGTCATAAAACATGGTAGTTTCTTTTTCTACACACTTAATCTGACATACTTTTTTTTTTTCTATTAATTTATGTATTTTCTGCACTTAGCAACGAAAATATTATTTTAAAACAATATTTATACATAGTATGTAAATTAAAACAACGGTATAGTAATGTAGGTTTTTACCTGTGTTTAAAAACTGTTTTGAAAATCATCTACTGCTAACAGTTAGTAAACTTTCAACACAAGTTTCTTTCAATGCATGTTACCCAAAAGAATTTATCAAATCACGTCACGCGCTTTTTGTGCAGGCAACAGAACACGCACGTGTGCATGGGTTCCTAAACACCTGCCTGGAATGGCAGTCTGGCGAGCGCCACTTTTACCTAAATATACCGTAAAAAAATACGTTCTAGTACAGAAATACAACGCTGAATAATTACACACACGCTCCATTAACTGAGCACGAGTCGAGTTTCATCGAACAGCTGGTTCAACTATCGAAGTTTAACAAAAGCCGAATGTTCTCACAAATAGATAACAAGTTCATTGTATAAATGGAAAAATCTTTTGAAAGTGCCTATTGTTACCGTAAATAACACAGAATAATCAATTACAAGAGGGTGCATGTGACTGACCAGTGACCATCGCCTGAAGTTGGTGTATAAAAACTCAATCAAACAAAGGAAAGGGAGAACAAGCTACGTAATTCCTAGAAACACATTCCTGGCGGCGCAATGCGTTAAATCCCTTCGAAAAAAAAACAGTTTAGTAGGACGCATATTGACGCGCGTAGTCACGCTGCGCAGTGAGGGTAATGCTACGGAATAAATCAGTGTTACGAGCTTAATTTGGTATTAAATATAACTGATTACTCGTAACATTGTAAAATAACAAAGTATAATTTAAAATTTAAAATTTTGTACAACCGACTTCAAGTTAAATTATTAAGAATAACTCAAAAACTATTAGTCTGACCTTGATCAAATTTATATGGGACTACATGAGAAGCACCAGCTTTCAAATGAAAAAGAAGAATCATCGAAATCCGTCCACACAAAAAAAAGTTATGAGGTAACACACATAAAAAAATAAAAAACACATACCGTCTCCTTTTTGAAGTCGATAAAAAAATGATATTGAAGTAATTTACAAAAAAACTTTATAAGCAAACAGAGAAACTATTTCATATATATCTTATTTATTGAAACATCATTCACGTTCGTGTTTATAAATATGTAATATTATCACAACTTTAAATTGGTATTTTGTGTATGTCACGGAACTTTTGATGATGAAACATGGGAATGAACTATGAAAAATGAAAACAAAGCGCTCGATGTCGGTTCTACGATAAATCAACGGAAGCGGCGCGTTTTTGATATTATGCTGCGTTGTTTTGAAATAATTGAACAAAGTTGATCTGTTTGACTCTTTGCTTACACGTTTTAAAATGAATGGTGGATATTCAATTAAGGTTTAAATTACCTAAGCTTTTATCGAATATCTAAAGCTGAACATAGGTCTGGACCAAGGAATACCACAAAAACGGTCATGAGCTACTCTAGAGAGAGACCAGCCTAAAGTACATTTAATGGTACGAGGATCCTTCTTACCGATCAGTTGTTGGTTCTTCGAGCTATATGCCCTGTCCGTTGTCACTTCAACTTACTGATCCATTGGGCTATATAGGTTACTCTAGCACGCAGAGAATCTCCGGACATAGCCCTCTCCATAACGCACCAGTCTAGGACGACAATACAAATCCATATGTACTGTTCATCTTAAGAACTATGCATCTTAACAATGCAGGACAAATAAACATTTCATGTTTACCTTTAACTTTCGCACAAGTTACATAAACTACATATAAATAAAAGATGAGCTACAATCAATAAAAGACGTCCAATAGAAATTGTTTCACGCAACATAGCACGAACACGCTGCCAATAACTTTTACTAAATAATATTTCTTGGTAATGTGTTCAACACACTTAAGTGAACGTGGACAAAATTCATTATAGACAAAATGTTAGTTATTCCTTGGCATAGCCAATGCATTCCGAAACTTAACGTCTTCACACAGTATAAAGCACTTTCTTAAGGTATATTATAATATACCGATACAGCCTATAAAAAAAAATCTATAAAATTAACCATATTTAATAAAATTATCATATCTAATTCTAATCCATTCATAAC